AAGCATCAGCTGCTGGAGTCTTGCAATTGTGAGGCTTTTTAATTTCGGGTTTTGTTACTCTTATTGGAATCTGTATGAGCTCATGAAAATGGAGTCAAGGCGCAAAGCGTGGCCCTTGAAACACAGAGCAGAAGACAAATAAAAGTATCCAAAATGTATTATCAGCAATGACATACCTCCCAATAGGTTTGGGTTTGGCAAGGGGAGGGGAAGGACCTGCCCCAGGAAGCAGGAACTATGCCCCAGCCTGATGGTTCTCCACTTTCCCCGTAACACAGTGCTCTCTCTCCTCCCAGACTAAGAAGTATGCTGATGTGATCATTCCCAGAGGAGCAGATAATGAAGGTGAGTGGACCCAGACCCTGCCATTACGTCCTGGCAGCTGGCTTTGGGCTGTTGCTGTTGCAAGCAGAGTTAGGTAGGAGGTAGCAGGACCTGCCACGGAGGTGACTCAGGCCACTGCCACCCGAGAGAGTGCTGTTACCACACACGCGCGGAGGTGAGCCTCCTCCCTTGACTCGTGACTGGGACTTTGTGCTCCTCTGATCAAGCCTGGGAGCCCAGCTATGTGCAGTGCCTCGCAGGCAAACTCCTGGTTCATCCCACACAAAGGGAAATGTGCTTCTTCAAGGCCAGATGTGCAACTGGGACAGCCAGGTCTCCACCTGGCTGGAATCAGCCTGACCATACTGGCTTGAGTGCTGGGCTCAGGTGAAGCAAAGGGATGCAGTCCCAGTGGGGAAGCTCCTTCCTGCAGGGTTGCAGCTCCCCACCACTTGATGGGAGGGGATAGGAGCAGGGGACATAGCAGGGTCATCGCCTCTGGCTTGGCTCTAGTTTATTTGCAGTGATCCTAATGTGGTCTCTCCCCCATGTCTTTCCCTTTCTTTTGCTCACAGTGGCCATAAACCTGATAGTGCAGCACATCCAGGACATTCTTAACGGAGGACTCAGCAAACGCCAGAGCAACGGCTACCTGAATGGCTACACTCCTCCCCGCCAGCGGCAGCCCTCAGAGTCCAGCAGCCGGCCTCACTGACCACGGGCGGCAGGCATGAGGCTGGGGCGGAGGGCGCTCGGGCCCTGCCACTGCCCCTCTGTACATACTGTTCATTCATTCTGCCCTTATCTATTTAAGAATCCAGACGGAGACGAATGCCTTTAATTTTGTATGTTGGAAATGCCGAATGAGAAGCAGCCGGCTGCTTGGGAGCCTGGACCGCCCACAGCTCCTGGCCTTGCTCAATAACTCCTCCAGCACGGAACCGGCTATAAATCTCTATAAATATAGAATTGCTCTATTTTTGTGTAAATGTAGAATAACGTAAAATTACTTGCCATAAGGTATTTGCCAGGTGCAGTGTTGCTGGGAGGGGGCTGGGAAGAGGGTCCTGAGAGATGTTGGTGTCAGGATCTTCATGTCAAAGGTCGTAAGGAAGGAAGAGCATTCAACAACTGCTTAGTTATCGCAGTGGTCTTCATCCCAGCGAAGGGACAGGCTGTGGTGGAGGTGGCAGCTTGAGTGTGGGATGGATTTTGTGACAGGGCTGGGGTTGCCTCTTCCTGCTGTTGCTGTTCGGGTCTGAGCAGCCTGGTTTTGGCTAGCAGGCACTGCACAATGCCACTGGGAGATGGGAGAATGACGTGTGATACCTCCCCTGACTGTCTCTGCACCTCTAGGTCTCAGTCCCTCAACAGCATCCCTTTCTGTGTCTAACACCCCTTCCCACCACAGGTGTGGGTCTGCTGTCACACCCTCGAGCAAGGACCTGGTAGGTGATGCTGGTAGGGTATGTGATCATATAAACATGGCAGCTTGCGTCTTTAGCAGTCTCACTGCCTGGCTTGGGTGGGGACAGCATGTGGATACCTTCAGCCTCTCTGGAGCTTGGTGGCCGCGTGTGGTGGTACTCCTAACCAAGCCCCGGGCTCAACCTTAAGCCTGGAGGTTGGCTTGCAGAAGGTCAGAGTTGTGTCTGTCATTCCTCATTTGAAATGGTTTTGCTCTTGGATGGGGGATTTTGGGTCTGTAAGATATGGTTAAGGGAGAACCAGCCTCTCTGAAAGAAGGGGGCAATAGATGATGAAAGGCAGCTGCTGAGCAGCCTGTCTGAGAGGAGGCAGCAGTATGTAGTGGTCCCTGGGCTGCCTAGCATCCCCATAGGGGACATCCACAGGTCCCAGCTGGGTAGCATGAAACTGGATGACCAGGAGTCCTCTGCTCCCCTTTTTCAGAGCATGCTTTTGCCTGGCCTGTGTCCCTTTCATTGCATCCTGGTGGAGGACACTGTGTCCCTGCAGTATGTTGTCCTCAGGGCTTCTCCGGGAGTGCTCTCCCTTGCCCAGGGTGAGAGTCAGTCTCCCCTAACCTGGTAGTACTGCAACAGCTGTGTCCCACGAGAGCCTGGTGGGGCTGTACTGTGGGTCTGGGGATGCCTGGAGAGCAAGGTGGGGCAGCTGAGCTGGGGCAGGGGCTTGGTGGGAGCCAGGGAAGCAGATGTGGTGGGAAGGTACCTGGGAAAGATCCTTTGGCCCATGCTGTTGGGACCGACCTGCCCCACTGAAAACGAAGTTTCATAGGTGTGCCACGAAGCCTGGATTAGCCTTGTCCCCTCTGATGATTTTCAGTCTTTCCAGAGCATTGGTTTTGCTCTGCATGGTTAAAAGCTTAGGACCTTAAACACTCGGTGCTTCATTGCTCTCCAGCTCCACATGAGCTGACACAAGCTTTGGTTTTTTTTTAACAAAGAGAAGAAGAAAGGAAACAGCTCCCTCAGTGACTGCTGCTGGGCAAACTCATTCCCTCTTGATCTGTGATGGGGGCACATGGCAGCTCTTCATCCCCCTCCCTGTCTGCAGGTGTTCCCTAAGGCATGTTAGCTTTGCCGTAATCGAGGGCTGGTGCTGGCTGATTCTAGGTACAGCCATAGGTAAGAGGGACTGAAGCCCTGCAGAACTGGTGAGGCTTCTCAGGGCCTCCTCTCCCCTGTAAATAAAGACAGAACAAATGGATGCTGGTATTTATTGTCTCCTGTTTGGTGATGCATGTTGCTTGCTGCGGTCCCTGTGTGGAAGCGGACTTGGCCAACGTTGTCTTAGTTCTGCAAGTCAAAGCCAGACCTGGAGCAAAGCTCCTGGCCCAGACAGCTTTGGTGAAGAAGGAGGTGCTGAGGGCAGTGGCTCTGGCTTTTGGCTGGTGAGCCAGCTCTCAGCAAGTCTTTGTGCACATATGGCTTGGGGTGCTTTGGTGAAACCCCTCTGTGTTCTCAGGGCAGCAGAGATGGACAAATTCAGCCCTTCCCAGTAAGTCTCTTGAACAGATGAGAGTCCAGTGAATTTCACCAAAAGACCTTACAGGCAGGGCAGCATTACCAATAGTAGGGTATCAGGCAAGGGTGAGACTGCTTTTAGCAAAGAGGTAAATCACTTTATGGCAAATCACTTTATGTCAGCATAAATTCACAAGGGGCAAGTCATGCTTAAACATTCTTAGAACCTTCTATGATGAATTGACTGGCTTGGTAGATGAGGGAAGAGCA